CTGAGTAGCAGACTGGCACACGTACACAGATCGAAAAGCCTGGTAAGGTAACTTGAGGTGACTCATTGTCATTGGATGCAACAACAATCACATTGTGTATTATCGACCATTAACTGTCACAAAATGACCCAGAATGGTTTAATCATTTACCGTTATGTCTCAAGACTTCTAAATATTAACTTTTATTGACCTTTATGTCCTACTGTGTTTTGTTTTGCGTATTGTATCGAAAAGAAAGCGCAAATAAACAGTACCGTAATACCGTGAACAATCTTATTTCACCGAATACCGTCAGCCAAAATGATGAAAAACCGCATACCGCAGAGCTAGATGATACCGCAATACCGCACGTTAAAATTAAAATTACCGAAATACCGCATGAAAAAAAGCCCAATACCGCAATACCGTAAACCCCCATGTCCCCCTCAATACCCACGCTTACGGAACTCACGTGTCTTGGGTTCTCAAAGGGGGTACTACCGATTGCATAAACCCTAACCCCCTATAATGCCCGGATGTTGTCACGCAATACTAAACAATATGCAAAAACCATGACATACAGGCAGTGTGGCCAAGTGGAAGGCATAAAATTCCTATTCGCATGCAAATATTTCATATACGGTATTGTCCCCCACAAACCTCGTTCCTTTGTATTTTATCACCGAAAACTAATCAAATGTCCATCTATTTGTTGGACGACCATGTAGTGAGATCAGTGTGTTCAGTGTTCTTTGCTCAGCAATAACACATTATCATGATGATAAAATCAATTAGTGTTTTCAGTTACCTCCTAGCAAGGAAATTTATGAGAAATCCTTTGTTCCTTCATCAGATTTCGCTTTATACCCAAACTCTCTAATTTTTTACAGTTTTTTTTTCTAGAAATGTTGGTTCCGTTCGAATATTTTCCGGACAAAACATGTTTTGATATACTTATTTAGGTTTGTAAAATAAAATTTGTAGTGGCCTCCACTGAATTTTACAGCCTATATGGTTTCTAGAGTCACTGTAGCAAGCTTTGAACAATTTTTGAAGCACACGCCGGATATATATCGTAAACTTATGGATGTTTGTTATAAGTCAGTGATACTAAGGAAATTCTGATGATTTATAGTGTATCTTATAATTAGATCCATGTATGATAGTACTAACGAACATACTAACGTACAGGCTGGAAATATATTTATTTGGAAAGAGGTAAGAGTCGGAGTTATTTACTGGAATTCAACCAGTCAGGGGCACCCAACGAGAATACAGTTCAAAACCACTTAAACATAGCATTGTTGAAAGTATTTTAGTATTTAAAGGGTAGATATAGGCATATTTTTATCCCCTATAAATTTTTCATCTGTTCGGATTTCCTAGCCGAAAGTATAGTGATCCGAAAATTATAGGGATCACAATTTACTTTTCGAAAATTTCAGTCCGAAAAAAGGCTCCCGAAAATTTTAGGTGACCTTTGTAGGGCAAAAATCCGTTAAAAATGGGCAATTATACCATTTTTGGGGGATTCGAAAATCGGCAGACAAGCATGAAATTTTTTCAACAAATGTTCCGAAAATTCTAGCTCTCAAATCGTCTTCCGAACAGATATTTTCCAAAAATTGTCGGTGGGTGCCCCTGAACCAGTTCCGTTTAAATCAGCAAATCACGGAATCTAGTCTTTATCCATAATGTTCGTGCACCCAATGATTCCATATGAATGAGGAGAAACCAGTTAGTAATTTCTTTGCTTGCGGGGACAAAACAGCAAGGGAGTAAGTAAGATTCAGCATTGACTGCCACCCGCGGCAAGACTGGCTAAGACTGCTCGGTCCTTTAAATCGTAAAAATGAGATACTGAAAAAGCTAGTTATGATGATTGTCGGATAAACAAGTATATAGAACAATCGTAGAAATAACGAGAGAAATAATCTTGAATCCATTTTTACCACCGTAAATTAGAGTGGAAAAGTCACATGAAATTAATGTGTTTACAAGATTAGCGATCAAAACCTAGCAATTCAGGTAACATCAAAACTTCATGATATGTATTCTTTGAAACTTTGATGCAAAGAAATGCGGTTTGTTTAGCAATATTAGATTTTACATGTTTAGGCCGAACAGGTGTCATTCAGTTGCTGCATTGATTATTTAGATCTTGTTTACAGTTTTACTTAATTGCGCATATATGTGGACTGCAGGTTTTGGGTGTCCAAGTAGGCCACGCTATAATGAAATTAAAAAAGTACACTTGCTAATAGTTAGAATAACCGCACTTGTCGGTTCTCCAAGATGGAATGTAAAATCATCAACGCTGTTTGAGCTGTTTAACTAAAATTGCTAATTCAAATTTGGAAAGATCGGCTAGCCCGTTGCTTCTTAAATGTCCAGTTCACATCCTTCAATTCCTCACTTCACTGTCACTTTTCGCAGCTTCATGTACTAGCATGCGTGCTTGAACGTTTTATTTGGCAAACGCCGTGGCTTTCAATTCCCGAAATGATTTGTTATGAAACTTGTGGGTATTCTAGGTTTCCTTGTTTGGTTTCCTTTTTCGGTGGTTAAAAGTGAAAAAGACTGGCGGTATTAGTTTGCTTTGAGCTTTGTAAATTAAATCTTAACATATAAGATACTAAAGTGAACATGATCTTCGCAGCAGAATGTGTAGAATGAACAACCTACCTCCTGGCACCACATTTTTGCGGGTTCTAATTTTTGCTATTTTGGCGATTTTTCCGCAAAAATAAGTTCCCGCAAATAAAAAATACCACAAACATTTTTCCCGCAAAAATTTACCCCAGAGTAAAGATTCTCTAACTTAAATTCGCTACACAAATATACTTTTCTAGGAAATCATCTCTCTTCAAAACGGTATACAATGAATTACTGGTTATAGGGTACGCATACCATATAGAGTGCCGTTTGAAAATATGTATTTCTGTTGCACATTCTTAACAAAAACGAAAATATTATCAATGCTGTGTACAGGATACTTACTGAAAATCGCAAAAATTAATTCCATCGAGAAAAACCAATCTGTCCTAATCGCAAAAATTTTGTGCCACACTGTAAGCGGTTGAAAAAGAACCTTACAAAATTCAAGCTTTTACCAGGTTCCTTTTGCAACCGCTCAGGTTGTTCATTCTATTGCGAAGATCATGTTCACTTTCATATCTTTATCCGCAGTTCAAAATATGATTAATTTTTTATATTCCAATTCATATAAGATATCACTTATTATACTCGGCTGAGTTTAAAATTCACGAACAAAGGGTCATGTTAGTAAGTACTGATAAAAAAAACCGAAAATGACCGGAAAAAACGTGAGTAGGAATACTGTACATACTACTTGTCATGTCACGGGCAGAAATCAAAGATGTAAATTAGTCAGTCCAGCGTGATTAACACTACCGTCTCAAGAACGCAAATGATATTTTGCAATTAAAAAACTTGCAGCAATAAGCCTGCTTTACCGATCACCTAGTTTCCGCGAAACACAAAAACTTGATTATACACAAAAGGTTGTTAACTCCAGCAAAAAAATTAATAGCACACGGTACTGTATAAATAGAGGATATTTCATGGCTGCGCGGAGATACAAAATTTCTCTTCGAGTGATGAAAAATATTTCACGAGTGAGCGCAGCGAACACACAAATTATGAAGAGAAGAAGAAATTTTGTATCTCCAAGAGGCCATGTAAGGTTCTATTTATTATATAAACGCCAATAAAATACCAAACCATTTCGCTTTAATTGCTGGTGTGAAGGGCGCTGCGCTCGTTCGTAAAATATTGTTTTGCCACTCGAAAATAAAATTCATATCTTTAAGCCGCCGTGCAATGTTCTTTTTATTATATAGACAAAAAGACATCGATAAAATAATAGATTTTTATTCGCCAAAAAGTAATTGTGACGGCTCAAATTTACATAACAGCAATATAAGACATTGTTTACAATAATCTTGAGAAACAACACTGAGCTGAATAGGGCTCTACAATGACAAAATGTAAGTAAAGCTTTGAGAAATGTATAATTAAAATTCAAAGGACGCAAGACGCCTACAAATTTTGGAGGGAAACTACCGAAATTACGTCATCGATAAACTCACGTGTGAGATTATGGAAAATAAACCACTCGGGTCCCGGGTGTAGTTTTTATGAATTTTACGAGTGGTATAATTTCCAGTAAAACACTCGTGTCGATATAAGACCCATATAATAAATAGAGGATATTTCATGGCTGCGCGGAGATACGAAATTTCTCTTCGAGTGTTGAAAAATATTTCACGAGTGAGCGCAGCGAACACACAAATTATAAAGAGAAGAAGAAATTTTGTATCTCCAAGCGGCCATGTAAGGTTCTTTTATTATATAAACGCCAATGAAATACCAAACCATTTCGCTTTAATTGCTGGTGTGAAAGGCGCGATTTATCATGTAGCCATAGCAACGGTGATATTTTCACATGTGGAGATATCAAGTTTTCGCGCGAAAGCTCGCCTGGTATTTCATCGGTGTTTATATAATAAAACAGCTTTGTAAATGTGTCGTAAGGCTCAAATAAAAATGCAAACGTAACCCTTAGACATTCAATCTCTATTAACTTACCCCTCAGCTCCAAAATCAGACAGGCTTTCTAAAACTTGCTTTGTTATTCTCTCTGTTATTGCAGATAAGGATTCATGCAGCTATAACTAGCGTCCTTTAAAGTTCCCAGGCTTTGTCATGAAGACTAATCAGATCTTTGTGTCATTTTCTATTATTGCTTTGCTTTTGGTATTTATCTATACACGAACTGGACTTCAATCTGGCTTTTGCGTACAAAAATAAGTTCAACCAGCGCAATGAAACTCATTGGGTTCCTCAAAACCGAGCAACTGAAAGAAGTTCAGACAAGAGAAACCCTTATAAACAGCAACGCAACTTTCAAGATATATGACAGCAAAGCAAACAACAGCAACACAGAAGCTGGTATAATCGTGGAAAATAGTCATCCACAACAAGAATTTGTTAAAAGGCGAAAAAATCTCATAGTACTGAGTGCAGGCCGCGGCGGATCTTCCTTACTTGGTTCCTTATTCGACAATAATCCGCACGTCATGTATTGGTTTGAGCCTCTATATACTATCATGAAACGAATCCCTATGAAACGGCAGCCGACAAAATACAAAGAAACAACCACCAGCGTTATCGATAGCTTCTTTCAATGCCGCTTTGACAAAATTGACAAGACTATTTTATCGGCGCTCTCGAGATATATGTTCCGCAAAAAAAGTAAAGCGCTCTCTAAAACGAAGTTGCCCCAGTTTACGAGTCAACGTCTTAGCAATGCTTGTAAAAGTTACGATCACACAGTGATCAAGATTTTGTCTGCAAGAGTGCCCAATACAACAATACTGACTTTAGAGAAACTTTTCCAAGAACAAAATCAATATGATGCAAAACTGGTTCACTTGGTTCGCGATCCAAGAGGAGTGGTCTATTCCAGGGTTAAGCTAGGATGGATGAAGAAAAACTTTAACAGCCCCGAATTTCGGAAAAGTGTTCGAAACGTGTTTGATCCAATACTTCAGAATATACGACTTGGTCTGTTTTCTTGCCCATCTTGGCTTAGAGATCGCTTTAAAGTTGTTCGCTATGAAGATCTTGTGGCGAACATGGTAAACGTTACACGTGACCTTTATAAGTTCGCAGGATTGGATTGGTCATCTAACGTTGATAAGTGGATAAGTACTTTAGCCAACAATTCCAAGCACGGACGCGCTTATTCCTTGTTAAGAAACGCGTCAATTTCTATGAACAGTTGGAGACACGCACCTAAACCCCTGATAGAAGCTGTGGAAGATGTATGCGCGGATCTCATGGATCTTTTGGGATACGAGAAAATGATAATAAAATAAGACAGACAAAATTTTGCCTAATGATACTAATCAGTGTTAATGATATATGAAAGAAACCATATATTAACTGCGGAAATGAAATCAAAATGAAGACATGATCGTCGCAGTGAACGCAATTTATGCAATTGCGTAAAGAAGCCTGAAAAAAAAAATTCAGTCCTGAATTTTTTTTTCTTTTTTTTTTTCAGGCTTCTTTACGCAATTGCATAAATTGCGTTCACTGCGACGAATTCATTTCTTCATTTTCGATACTAATGTTCTCGTATAGAGGTGCTGAGTAGTCCATACCAACTAGAACGTTTTCTTTTAATAGTCCGCCAACCTAAAATATCTGTGAGGACTGACGTTAAATCGAGACGTAATCTAGCTTATTTTGGGTTGGAAAATATGAAACGGCTTGTCGGCCATTTCCATTGTAAAACGTAATTGAATTGAGAATCCAGGCGCAGACGGATGGCTAATGTTGACTGAAGCTCACTGACAAGATGAATGGGAACTGGATAAAATTAAATTCGTTTTAACAAATAATATAATCTTTAGAAATTGTTTACCAACAATTCTTGTCTTTATTCTATACCCCCCTTAGTAGTGCGCACAAAATTTGAATGGTCTCCAGGAAAACGAAATCTCTTTGGTTCAGGTATGCAGTTCGGAGTATCATCCGTTTAAGAAAAACATGCTATTAAATATTCTTATAGCTCACGCTTTCCATGGGGCGTTTGGATTGGAAGCTTAATTTGTTTGAAATTGAATATTTTTTTGTTCAAATTTGCATGTTTTCTTATTTTTTCATGAAACGCAGCTGGCGTTGATGGGGTATGAACTAACAAAACCAAATACAAGTACTCCTGGAAAATAAATCTCGCACGTGATATTAATTTAAAACTCTACGTACACTTGGGTTAGAGTTTAGCGGCATGTTGCAGTAATTTTACTTTAATTAATTTTTACACGTATTAAACAGTATACTACCTGCGTTAGGTTCAATAAACAACTCTGCAATAAACTAATTTTAGAAGCCTTGTTTTTATGCAGGGAAGATTTATAGCTACAACATGTCAAGTGAAGGAATTTTTTTCCCCGGCACTGCCCAATATCTTATTTACAAAACACTGAAAATTGCCTGATTACACATTCAAGTTGTTAGTAGTAACCGTGCCCCACGTATAGAAAGACTCTACTTTTCCTCAACCAACAAAGATTGCTTGAGTTCCGTGTTTGGACATGGTATCCTCATGCAGGGTGCGGGGTATCGGCATTGAAGATGTGCATATTTTCAAACATTGTCATGAAATGACAGGATTATTGTTGTGGATTGGGTCATACTTTATAAGCTGTGTGGTTCAGCAAACAAGTAGAGTAAAGGATTTATCTTCTCTGGCAAGATATGATGACAGTTGTTTAGCTTCAATGAGGCATGTTCAAAGTATCAAACGCGTAGTACGACCTCGCCCAAATATACGCTCCCACAGCGTCTTGTTACATGAAATTTTCCCGACGCGTTAATTTCGCAATACCAAAAAAATCGCGAGATTAATTGACGCGAAAATGAATTTAGTGACGCACATTATATCAATCATCAAGAAAGAACGAGTTTATTACCACTGAAACGCTTACAAAATCACTTTTTTACTGTTCATTTTTTCTCCTGAATTTTTACAAAATCACTTTTTTTACTGTTCATTTTTTCTCCGGAATTTTTAGTGTAAATGGATGATGTGGTCACTTGACTCAAGACTGAAAAATAATTTACGTACAAGCATGAACTGCTTGTGCACATTTTGAGAGCTGCTTTGTTGTTACTGTTGACAACTAGTCCCACTGTGACGTTATTGCTCCTTTGATAAAGTCGTTTTATTTAATTCAAGGACATGTTGAATAACATTGCCAATGAACTGTAAATTGTGGTGCTACAAAACGTGAACTTAAAGACAAAGCGTCCGCTATAATTTTCTAATGAAAGCAAGGCTACTTCATGTCCTCGAACTTTCGCAGGACCCATAAGAGTAGCTAACACTTTCGGATGAGACGAAAAAGCCACCTAAGACATTCGTGACAACCAAACTGTTCCCCTAAGACATCCAAACAGATAAAGAGTTTTTAGGACAACTCGAAAATAACCAAACAGGCTTCTAAAGCACAGAGGAAACAGAAGACACTTCTGGCGTATTTGGAAACATTCGGTTGTTGGGTGCCCCTGATATGTAACCGTTTTATACGGTATTGTCCCCCACAAACCTCGTTTCTTTATATTTTATCACCGAAAACTAATCAAATGTCCATCTATTTGTTGGACAACCATGTAATGAGATCAGTGTGCTCAGTGTTCTTTGCTCAGCAATAACACATTATCATGATGATAAAATCAATTAGTGTTTTCAGTTACCTTCTAGCAAGGAAATTTATGAGAAATCCTTTGTTCCTTCATCAGATTTCGCTTTATACCCAAACTCTCTAATTTTTTACAGTTTTTTTTTCTAGAAATGTTGGTTCCGTTCGAATATTTTCCGGACAAAATCTGTTTTGATATACTTAATTAGGTTTGTAAAATAAAATTTGTAGTGGCCTCCACTGAATTTTACAGCCTATGTGGTTTCTATAGTCACTGTAGCAAGCTTTGAACAATTTTTGAAGCACACGCCGGATATATATCGTAAACTTATGGATGTTTGTTATAAGTCAGTGATACTAAGGAAATTCTGATGATTTATAGTGTATCTTATAATTAGATCCATGTATGATAGTACTAACGAACATACTAACGTACAGGCTGGAAATATATTTATTTGGAAAGAGGTAAGAGTCGGAGTTATTTACTGGAATTCAACCAGTCAGGGGCACCCAACGAGAATACAGTTCAAAACCACTTAAACATAACATTGTTGAAAGAATTATAGTATTTAAAGGGTAGATATAGGCATATTTTTATCCCCTAAAAATTTTTCATCTGTTCGGATTTCCTAGCTGAAAGTATAGTGATCCGAAAATTATAGGGATCACAATTTACTTTTCGAAAATTTCAGTCCGAAAAAAGGCTCCCGAAAATTTTAGGTGACCTTTGTAGGGCAAAAATCCGTTATTTGGAAAGAGGTAAGAGTCGGAGTTATTTACTGGAATTCAACCAGTCAGGCTGAACCAGTTCCGTTTAAATCAGCAAATCACGGAATCTAGTCTTTATCCATAATGTTCGTGCACCCAATGATTCCATATGAATGAGGAGAAACTAGTTAGTAATTTCTTTGCTTGCGGGGACAAAACAGCAAGGGAGTCAGTAAGATTCAGCATTGACTGCCACCCGCGGCAAGACTGGCTAAGACTGCTCGGTCCTTTAAATCGTAAAAATGAGATACTGAAAAAGCTGGTTATGATGATTGTCGGATAAACAAGTATATGGAACAATCGTAGAAATAACTTGAGAAATAATCTTGAATCCATTTTTACCACGGTAAATTAGAGTGGAAAAGTCACATAAAAATTAATGTGTTTACAAGATTAGCAATCAAAACCTAGGAATTCAGGTAACATCAAAACTTCATGATATGTATTCTTTGAAACTTTGATGCAAAGAAATGCGGTTTGTTTAGCAATATTAGATTTTACATTTTTAGGCCGAACAGGTGTCATTCAGTTCCGGCATTGATTATTTAGATCTTGTTTACAGTTTTACTTAATTGCGCATATATGTGGACTGCAGGTTTTGGGTGTCCAAGAAAGCCACGTTTTAATTAAAAAAGTACACTTGCTAATAGTTAGAATAACAGCACTTGTCGGTTCTCCAAGATGGAATGTAAAATAATCAACAGTGTTTGAGCTATTAAGCTAAAATTGCTAATTCAAATTTGGAAAGATCGGCCAGCCCGTTGCCTCTTAAATGTCCAGTTCACATCCTTCAATTCCTACTAGCTTTATGTACTAGCATGCGTGCTTGAACGTTTCATTTGGCAAACGCCGTGGTGTTTATATAACTAGTAATAGTTGACACTACACCTGCCCCCGTTCTGTATATTGTCGGTCAATAGTATTCTTGCTGGTTGTGTAGCTCTTTGAAATATACCGATTCATAATGAAGATTTTCACACATATTCCATACAATAGGTGAGATAAATACAGTAAACGCAAGGTTCCATGCACCGTTTCAGCTCGATTTACACAGCTTTGATGAAAACATTCTCAGTTTCGAGAATAGTTTATCCTAAACCATACGAAAAGATATAATTAGAAGTTGAATTTTTCGCTATTTCTCTTTCACTTTTTACATTCAGTTCATTTTATTTCCCGGAAAGTAATCCTTAGAAATTAAAAGGACGTTTGATCGATTCACGCTCGCACATTCTAGTCTTATTTGAAACTTTATAACGCAAAGACATCTGTCAGCAGGGAAAAAGTCAGCACAGAATTTGATTGTCGGCGAATTCATGTAATTGTCCATCAATCTGCTAGTGATAAGCTAGCCGTTATTCACTCGTCTTTCTTGTTTGGGGCTGAGTCTTATTCCGATCAAAGAGAGAGAAAGAGTGTCTGACAAGGTTTCCAATATAAATCAAAGATTTGTGAACTCGTGTCTGGCAAACCTCCAAGTGTTTATATATACACAGTTAAAGGCACCTTATGACCTCATCTGCGCTTAACGATTGTCTTTTGGCCCATAACGTTCAAAACAACTGCTCCACAGAATGTTACTGCGTAACGCAAAAGAGTGGCGAAGTATGACTGCACAATAAATGTCACAAAATCTACCTGAGCGGACCCTTCGGAATTTTCTGTCTTTACGTCATCCTAACCATTTCGTACTTGCGGGCACAAACAATAGAAACGTCATCATTACCTACCGATTCCTCGCGGCCCCTGTTCGAGCAAATCGAGATTTTTTTCTAGTATACTGACTGTATATTTGAACTGTAAGTACTGTCCTTAATATACGCGCGAGTTACTAGGGTGCCTTCTCAGGATTTCGCCTCTGGGCGAAATCCCTGCGGGGGCAATAAAACAGCTTTGTAAATGTGTCCTGAGGCTCAAATAAAAATGCAAACGTAACCCTTAGACAGTCAATCTCGATTAACTCACCCCTCAGCTCCAAAATCAGACAGGCTTTCTAACACTTGCATTGTTATTCTCTCTGTTATTGCAGATACGGATTCATGCAGCTATAACTAGCGTCCTTTAAAGTTCCCAGGCTTTGTCATGAAGACTAATCAGATCTTTGTGTCATTTTCTATTATCGCTTTGCTTTTGATATTTATCTATAACACGAACTGGACTTCAATCTGGCTTTTGCGTACAAAAATAAGTTCAACCAGCGTAGTGAAACTCATTGGGCAGATTGGGTTCCTCAAAACCGAGCAACTGAAAGAAGTTCAGACAAGAGAAACCCTTATAAACAGCAACGCAACTTTTAAGATATATGACAGCAAAGCAAACAACAGCAACACAGAAGCTGGTATAATCGTGGAAAATAGTCATCCACAACAAGAATTTGTTAAAAGGCGAAAAAATCTCATAGTACTGAGTGCAGGCCGTGGTGGATCTTCCCTACTTGGTTCCTTATTCGACAATAATCCGCACATCATGTATTGGTTTGAGCCTCTACGTACTATCACGAATCAAATCCCTGAGAAACAGCAGCCAACAAAATACAAAGAAACCACCACCAGCGTTATCGATAGCTTCTTTCAATGCGGCTTTGACAAAATTGACAACACTATTTTATCGGCGCTTTCGAGAAGTAGTCTTCGCAAAAAAAGTAAAGCGCTCTCTAAAAGGCAGTTGCCCCAGTTTACGAGTCAACTTCTTACCAATGCTTGTAAGAGTTACGATCACACAGTGATCAAGATTTTGTCTGCAAGAGTACCCAATACAACAATACTGACTTTAGAGAAACTTTTCCAAGAACAAAATCAATATGATGCAAAACTGGTTCACTTGGTTCGCGATCCAAGAGGAGTGGTCTATTCCAGGGTTAAGCTAGGATGGATGAAGAAAAACTTCAACAGCCCCGAGTTTCGGAAAAGTGTTCAAAACATATTTGATCCAATACTTCAGAATATACGACTTGGTCTGTTTTCTTGCCCATCTTGGCTTAGAGATCGCTTTAAAGTTGTTCGCTATGAAGATCTTGTGGCGAATATGGTAAATGTTACACGTGACCTTTATAACTTTGCAGGATTGGATTGGTCATCTAACGTTGATAAGTGGATAAGTACTCTAGCCAACAATTCCCAGCACGGACGCCCTTATTCCTTGTTAAGAAACGCGTCAATTTCTATGAACAGTTGGAGACACGCACCTAAACCCCTGATAGAAGCTGTGGAAGATGTATGCACGGATCTCATGGATCTTTTGGGATACCAGAAAATGATAATAAAATAAGACAGACAAAATATTGCCTTATGATACTACTATTCTTGTATAGAGGTGCTGAGTAGTCCATACCAACTAGAACGTTTTCTTTTAATAGTCCGCCAACCTAGACTATCCGTGAGGCCTGGCGTTAAAACCAGACGTAATCTAGCTTATTTTGGGTTAGAAAATATGAAACGGGCCTTGTCGGCCATTTGCATTGTAAAACGTAATTGAATTGAGAATCCAGGCGCAGACGGATGGCTAATGTTGACTGAAGCT